TCAAGAATCCTCCTCTGCTGATGAGCTTTTCTCCGATGGAAAAATCCTTCCTACTGAAATCAAGAAGAAGAATATTGTCTCTGCGAAACAGTTGTCAGAACCAACACAAGCATCTCAAGATGATGAAGGTGAAATCAACAACAACAACTTGAAGAAAGAAAGTTCGAAGGCAAATAAGATTTCAAGAGATGAGGTGGAGGAGAAGCAAAGTTCCAAGTCATTTTGGCGGTTCAAGAGGAGTAGTAGCTTGAACTGCAACAGTGGCTACGGCCACGGCCTGTGTCCTCTGCCTCTGTTATCAAGAAGCTACTCCACCGGCTCTGCTCCAAAACAGAGTTCTCAGAAACATCCAGTTTCCCAGAAACCCTCGTCGTCAATGTATCATCAAAAGCCTCCTTTGAAGAGGAGTTATGGACCATATGGTAATGTTAGTGTTCAAGTTAATCCTGTTCTGAATGTTCCTTCAGGGAATCTGTTTGGTTTAGGTTCAATCTTCTTCAATGGCAAAGATAAGAACAGGAAGAAATGAATTCAGTCCAATAATTTTCCTTTTAAAAAATGAAATTCGTTCCCAGCTTGAAGATTTTACTCCTTTTTTTTTTTTCTTTCTTTTTTAAACTTCAATGTGATTATTGATTGATTGATTGATTCAGCATATGCATAGGAGAATTGATTGTAATGTGGACTTGCGGAGAGAAAAGTGGGACTGCCTTTATCAAGAAGGCAAGGGGATAGAGGTAGAAAGGCTGATGAATGGAGGGACCAGGAAAGTGGTATAAATAATAATTCATGCCACATGCTATGGAACATAACACAGGCACCCATTTCTTTCATGCCTGTACTGTTCTGTCCTCTCTTTTTGGTTTTTCCTTTTTCCTTTGGTACTGTTTGCTTGGTCATTTTATTATCATTAGAAAAAAGTATAAGTTTTTTCTCTAAGACTAACAGAGCATGTCAATTAAGTTGTTTATATATCTCTTTATACATACATACATATATTTTCAGTATAACAGAAAACATATATACATCTCACCAATTCAATTATAAATTTGTGCACCTTAATTATTACTCAACACAACAACCTTGCTTAGAAGATTCAAATGTCAATTTTTAAGGAGCTTGATCCTTATATTAAACTTGCCCTATAATGGAATCATTGGGATTTTGCTTGGCTATGAATCATTGTTGCTGAAGGAAGAAAAGATGTGTCTATTTTGACTTTTATAATCCTTTCTTCCCAATTGTTAATAAAAGACAGAGACTAAGACAAGCAAATAATCAGTCTGGTAAGAGGGAGAGACTTCCACAAGTGGGGGTTTTACTTTTTAAGACTTTATTGTTATTTAATTGTTAAAATCTTATTGACTCGTTAACCATATCAGATATATAATTATAATATTATAAACAAAAGCAAGGAGAGTATGCAGGTCTTTTGAGTTTCTTTACTTCATAGACTCCTATGGCTATGATTGTGAATTAAATTTCCATTAGCAATGGAGAAATTTAATGGAAAGGACCTCTCCCATACTATATTAAAAGATTACAAACTTGATCGATCAGTTTTAAAAGTTAAGAACGAGTTTGCAAACAACCTTAAAGGTTAAGGGTTGAAGCCAATGTACAGATAAAAAGGTTGAGGACTGAAAAGTAAAAACGGTAATATTTACCCAAAAATAAAAAAGGTTAAAAACTAAAATGCACCGTCGGGAGTCTTCGTGTCTAAACTTCTCGTTTAAGCTGTGCGGCTCAGCACCTGGAATCCAGCCGTAGCAGAGGGGAATGGGGAAGCAAGATGAAGACGAAGACCGGAGAAGAGAGGCAGCAATAGCATCGACTCCTTCTTTTCAGCTCAATTTCAAGCCCGATGGCGTCACACAACAGCAGCTTTCTAAATTCCAGGTACTTTTCACAAAACCATCTTCTCATCAAAATCATATGTGTATATAATTTGTATCCTGTTCGAATTGTTTTTGCTAGATTCGATGCTTTATTTCCATATTTGTATGAAAAAATAGGAACCCACCTCATTATTGCCAGTGGATTCTGTAATCCGTCTGACAACTTCTGCAATTTCTCCTGTTTATATCTGTTTGTGGAAATTCAGGTGATGGGATGTGATTCTTGAATTTAGTATCTTTTTATAATTCTTTAGCACAATGAAAAAAAAAAAAATTGAGATTTTGGGTAGCTATGTTCTACGAAGTATTGAAAATTTGAAATTCATGCTTGACTAGCTAATGTCCATGGTGAAGAAGTTATCTGTGTTGGTTTAGAGTTTTGATGGGCATCAACAATCCCAAGTCACCTGTCTTTAGCACATTGGAACTAAATTGTTTGTATGCCTTGTAATTTCGATTTTGCTGGTTTTCCTTTATTTGTATCCACGGCAATATTTTTTTCATTTAAAATATTATGCTTGTGGAGCTATATTACATATCTCAATACAAATTTTCATAATACGAGAATGGTCGTATAGGCTTCCAAAGGTGAACATGAGGTTATACTTGTTGGCCAGTGTCAGAGAGTTGATGAGAGGCATTAGTTGTGATTCCGCAGGTGGTTTGGAAATGAAACTTGGTGTCCATCACACACTATGTGTCTTTATCTTAGGAAAGTTAATTCTACTGAGTATAATTGTAGTCTCTGGAGAGAGTAATTAGGAAGACAATTTTTGTTTTCAGTACCATGAAGTGGTTTGCCATGTGGCATGCTTTTCCATAGAAGCAGATAAATTTAGATTCTTTGTTCCTTAAATTGAATTTTGCCAGTGCTGTTCTATATCATTTTGTCATCTGTCCTCCCTCTGCATCACTAACACTAAATGCTTAAATTCTTTAACGTGATAGGAGCTGCACAGGAGGCGCCTACAGATAAAATCAAAATCGAAGATTTATAAAAAAGCAAAAGGTAGCAATTGTGGTTCAGATTATTGCCTTTTCTTTCCTTTTTTTAATGGAAATTTGGGGCCATTCATCTAACATCTTTGTGGCAATTGTAGATGGTAATGGGAGGAAAAGATTTTATTCTAAAGACATCAATAATGTTGATAATGTGGATTCTCAAGCAACAGATCCAAATACTGAACTTGAAGATATAAGTGCTCCGAACTTGGAAAGCCACTGTGAGGGTAATAATCCCACTATCCAGCAAGAGAATGTAGCAGTGCAGCTTGCTCCAAAGAAACGCCAGAAATTACATTGGGGGTATGTTTCACCCTTACTTCTAGTAGTATTATGAGAGAAATATGTTCTTATAATAAGCATGGATTCATATTTGGTGGAACTTTTTGATTAATTGGAATGGCTGCGAAAGGTGAAACAGATGCAATCCCACACTCAGGAATTAATGTAACAGTTGCACTTTTTCATATGACTGTTAATAGCTTCCAACTTCAGTCACTTCAGTTACATCCATGTGTTAGCTGAATAGTTATTGTAATTTGGCTTCTTTTTTGTGTCATATTTCCTGATTAAACCCATAATCAACGTCTAACAAGTAACAACATTATTTACATTATTTGAGTCAAAAGCTAGTTTCTTTTGTGTGTGGGGGGGGCCGGCATTTTTTTTTGTTTGTGGGGCTGGGGCATCACAGATAACCATTTCATTTTATATGATGAACATAGTTTCATACTTTCTTCATTATTTCCTGGCAGGCTTGTGTATGTGTGTGTGGCATCACAGATAACCATTTCAATTTATATGATGAACATAATTTCATACATTCTTCATTATTTCCTGGCAGGCTTGACACTAAGGAAAGGTGGGAAAGGAAGGCAAACATGTAGGTACTCTAAACTTCACTGACTAGATGTTCAAAAGTTTCTTCCCGTGAGTTGATTGGTAAAAAAATGCTAAAAGAGAACAATCTTGGTTGAGTACTGCCGGCAGCCAAGGGACATAGATCATAGGAGGGAGAAATTGTTGACTGTATTTCATTGATGTGCACATAGGATTGTATGCGTCAATGTCCAGGCGAACCGTTCATCGGTAACCATATTCAATCTCAAATGTAGTTTTAATGATTATTTTTTATTAGAACTACAACCTAGAGATGTTATTGACAGTTGCTGTTCTTCCTCTTTAGTCAAAACTCTTCATTTATTTTAGCTACAATAAGTAAATGCATGAAAAATGATTAGTCTATATTTGATTCAACATTTATTTCTTTACACTTATTTTGATTTAATTATTAAATTATAATATAAATACAAGTAATTTAATCTTATATTTTATATGTTTAATTATATTTTTAAATTTATATATTTTTAACTTTAAATAAAAAATAATATTTTTTAATAAATGTATTATATAATATATTAATTGAACCGATTCTAATCATTGTTTGGCAGAAAAATAAAAATCAAACCAAACATCCTAGAAATCATAAATAAAAGGAAATATTTCCTTTTTCTATTTATAATAATGGAAGATGCATTGCTTTTCTAGAGGTCTTTAAAGATATTTTTGGAGTATAAGAGAAAAGTATGATATTTGAACTGTCAACATCATCCTCTTAAAAACCACTTGATTAAGCGATGGAATATCTGGAAGTGATTTCTTGCATCAAATTATTGATAAATTGTTTTGAGGATGAGTAGGAAAGGTAACAAACAAATACCACTACCAGGTCTCATCTGTACGAGACAAATATCTCCACAAACGTTATTTTGCTAACACACAATTAGACAATACCTCAGTCCAACTACCAATATGAAATCTCGAAAGCTGGTGCATTTAAGATTTAACCGGTTGAGCAAAAGAAAGGGAAAGGGGGGACAGAACAAATCCCAGTACCAGTTCTCATCTATACAAGTGGGAAAGCTCCATGAGAGACCAGCAAGAAGAAGAACTCAGATCCCTAGAGATATTATTTTCACATGGATTTCCGAAGCTGACTAAATCAGATTGCTGGGTTAAGAGCACGCTCTATTTCCTCCAATGATCGCCCCTTTGTTTCAACAACATTACCAGCTATGTACAATACGGCCAGAAAACAGATACCTGCGAATCCCAGATACACGGAGCTGATCCCAAACTTGTTTACAACACTCAGGAAGTACAGGCCAATGACAAAGTTGGAGCTCTGTTCAAACACAAAATCAAAGTCAGCAGTGATTCCAGTGAAATGTAGCATTTGAAGATTATGAGATAGCATCTACCAGAGCTTGATCAATGGTTAGGACTCACATAATATCTATTCTATTCTTTTTCAATTCTTTCCATACGCCAGGAATAAACTTGAATATTCTCAACATACATATACCATAATACAGAGAATCCAACTTGATGAAAGTGAGCGGAATGGAATTATATCAGATAGAAACATTAACTTACGCATTTGCCAATAGGCATGCCTACCCACAAGAATGCACAAGTATCAACCATGTCAAGTCTAGGGCAGGCGTTGTACTATAACTTACCCAATGCATTCCCAAAGACAAAGCTACTGCTTTTGCTCTGATTCTGGAAGCAAATATCTCCGGCAGAAGTAAAGCAGGCACTGGACCAGCACCAAGTGAAAAGGATAACACATACCTGTGTAGATGAAAAGGATGTGGGTTTTAGATCCTATCAACTATTGTGGCACAGAAACAGCACAAACCAAATTAAAGAGGAATATTAAGAGGTGCAATTTCCTTCAACCCTCGCACCTCTTCCCCCCTCCCCCCCCCTTTTTTTTTTTTCGTTGGTTAAAAAGGAATAAGAAAAAGAAAGAAAGATAAGGATGATTAACTCACAGAACAGTCCCCACCACAGCAAGTGTCCCAGAATATGGAGCCAGAACCTTCCAGGTGAATGACAAAGAAAGCAGCAACATAGAAGCAGCCTTCATGAGCCAAAAGGAAAGAGAGACAAGCAAACATGACATTAATTAGTCACAGGATAACTAGAAAAAATATGGCAGACATATATCATAGAATTTCTAGAACTTTCTAAAATTTGTTGGATAAAGTTTTTAGCAGACAGAACTAGAAAGGCTGGTTTCAAGATAGCATTCTAAGTTATGTGAGAATCCAAAATGCAAATGCAGAATGTTTATTCCAGGAATTTTAAAAACCATGTACTGATCTTGCCCCATGCTTCAGAAGAGTGAACAGTTCTCCAAAGCTTACCATTCCAGCAAAGCTTGTGATTAGAAGGCTCTTCCTTCCTTGTCTGTCCATGAGAGAGGATGCAACAGCCGTGCCTGCAAGAATACCATGGATAAAGGAAGTTAAATGTTGTACACAAATTTTGAATTGACACTTTAGAAAAGTAAAATAAGACTAACCAAAGACATTTGATGCCCCAACAAGGGCACTAGCTGCAACATCAGATACAATTCCAGCACTGCGAAACACAGAAGTAGAATAGTACACAACAGCATTTATCCCAGCTAACTGTTGGAACATGAAAAGTGCTGCACCAACACTCACAACTGCAGCACGGCATGCAAGTTAGTAAACAGTATTAAAAATAAGAAGAAGAAAAGAAGCAGGACGATACGTCAGAAAACATGAAAAACAGCAGGGAACGTCAATAGGCCATATATATAAAAATAACACCAATTATGGTGACTTCAAAACCTTCAGGCATACCTTTCCAGTAGCGGCTGCTAAATAGATCAAACCATCCTGCCTCAGGCTCTGCAGAACCTTGAACTGCTGATGATAAATCATACATAACTTCAGCAACTCTTTCCTTCCCATATAGTGTTTTTATAACCTTTTCAGCCTCAGGAAGTTTTCCTTGCTTCAAAATACATGTACAAGAATCAATATTCTGGATTAACATGAAACAGAAACAAAATGTAGCATAAAAAAAACCTCAATAGTCCAAAAAGAAAACCTGAAACAGCCACCGAGGACTTTCTGGGGAAAAAGCCATTCCAAGAGCCAAAAGAACAGAGGGGCCAACAGCAATACCAAACATTGTCCTCCACCTAAAGGAATAATCATATAAATGGGCAAAAATGCAAGATTAATAGGAATAAAATTCTGTTTATAAAAGAACAAGTTTAAGCTCCATTAAGTTGGGGGGAGGGGGGAGTGGACTTCATATGAGCATACCATAGAGGGTTTCCTGCCAAAGGCAATCCAGCCACCAATGCTGCAAGAATCCCAACACATATGAAGAGTTGGTTTACGGAACCAAGTGCACCACGAATTTCAGTTGGTGAGATCTAAGAAATAAAAAGCATTGAAGCATATTGTGTTACCAGTAATCAGACAGCAACAGAAGCCAATAAAGTCCATAAAACGGTACCTCAGATATGTAAAGTGGTACAATGGCAGATGAGATACCGATTCCAATCCCAGCAAGTAGGCGACCAATTATCATGGTCTGAACACTTTGGGCTGTTGCACTGGAGACACGCAGATCAATTTGAAGCATTAGTTTTTAGCCAATGTGTAACAGATGAACACTAGTTAATGAGACAGGACAAACCATAGAAATGCTCCAATTACGAGCGGGATAGCATCTAACTGGAAAGTCCTTGTCCTTCCAAATTTGTCAGCCAATGCTCCCCCAGTAAACGAACCAACGGTAGCACCAGCAAGCAGTGTGCTAACAACCCATCCTACTCAATTTAAAATATAACAAGAATTTATAAGCTGGCTAAACTTATGAGAGAAAAAGAAAATGGACAATTCAGAGTAACTTCAAAGATGGCTTCAAATACTCTAATACTAATGTTAGAATGTACTTCCTTTTAAAAAAGAAAATCACAAAAAGGTAGACCATATAGGTCAATGAAAACTCTCATTTTCACTTGAAATCCTACCTGGAATCTTGAGCAATAAACATTAAGAACACTGAGTGCGTGAAGCAATGCAATGCACATATAAGTTTGCTTGAAACAAAAATTAAAAAGAAAATGGGAAAGGTGTTAAAAACAAAGATGCAATTTCCATAGAGATCTTTACTGTGTAACACCACTTGCCTTGTAAGACAGTATTTTCAGCAATCCCGAGATCCTTGGCAAGGTACTCAAGAGCACCGTTTACCACCCTGCATTATGAAATTAAGAAAAGAAATACGTTTTTTTTATCAACTTTGAGAATAGAAATATTGTCAAAAGCCTTGCAAGTTGCATAGGTAAGCTACGCAACCAAAAAAATGCAGGATTCCAACCACCAAGGTATCCTATAGAAGACAACTTCAGGAAAAGGATCCATGTCACTTTGAATAAGCTCAGACATACCCTAGATGGTAACCAAACAAAATAGCTCCCAAGCAAGCAACTCCAACAAATGGCAGAACTGTCCCAGAAGACTTCACTTTAGGATTAAGAGATTTCACATCCTCAATGTCTCCATCTGCAGTGCAAGAACATAGATCATTGGCATGAACAGAAACGTAAGGAAATTACTTAAATTCAGTAAAATAAAAAAGCGCCACAGTATGAAAGACTTCCAACAATACAAGAAAAACTTAAGAAAAGATCTCTAATATATATATATATATATATTGTTCCAACTAAACCAACTCAACTACACATCAGCATATAGCATCTTCAAAAATGAAGTCCCGATCATAATTGCCTACACGTGACAGAAATTGAAACAAAGAGTCCATACCATAGCAAAGCAATAACGATGGTAAAATTCAAAGCATAGACAGACTTACTACTTGTGCAAATCGGCATCTAATGCAAAGCATTGGCATCTCATACAAGTCCAAAAGGCAAACAAACAGCACAAATCGATTCATCAAATTTCCGAAACACAGCTTTCAAAACAGAACTGAACTGAACAAACAATCAAAAAAAAGAAGCAATTAACTACGAAATCAATGATTCCGAGCAGACCAGAAGCTTGAACCCTGACAGATCGAGCCTTCACCGACGAGTTAACCATTTCGATGACATTTCTTCCACGCGCAAGCTCAGCGCCCATGGAATCCTCACCGGTGCGCAATCCGCAGAAAACGGCACTCTTTCTCACGCAAATCTCGTCGCTGAAACTTAAATTTCTCCTCCTAAATCCACCGAAGCCTTGAAACGCTCCCCGCCTCCGAACCTCAAAACCGACACTTCCTTTGAGTGCGAAAGTTGACGCTTGCATTTTCACCTGATCCAAAGTCCAACCACACAAAAGTCAACACAGATATTAAATTCGAAATTAAAATTAAAAACGAAACCGTTTGAATCGGAGATAATGCCATTGGATACTGAATTAGGATGATTGAAGAGTGAGATTACCGAATTGAAAGGTGTTTGGAGAGAAGGAAAGTGAGGGAAAGATCAAAGTAAAGCCACTTTCGATTTTTCTTTTTTTCTGTTTGGTTTGCGGGAATTTGTAGGGGATAAACTTAGGAAAATCCGTTGAGGGAAGGGGATGACTGTTTTACTTACTAGGAAGAACAAAGTGGAGAATTCAATTCTGATTCTGATTCCCGTGTTTTTATTTTTATGTTTTGTTTTCCTAATTTTTGAGAGAGGAAAAAAGGGGAAGAAAAAAACAGAATGGGATGATTATTGATTACGTGGGATTTTCGATTAGATTTTCGGGTGGCGTTGGAGATGTCTTGGATTCACTTGAGTTTCTCACGTCTGGGTTTGGATTTGCCTCTACACTCCTCGTCTTTCACCAAAAAGACCCTCTCGTATTGTACTGTAATGCGAAGGTGAAGGCTTACACGCAAATTAATTGTCATTTTATAGGTGAAAATTAAAATTAAAAATTTATGATTAATATCTAAAATGTTAATTTTTTGGATGAATAATGTGAAGATGTTCTTTTAAAATTATTTAGAAAAATTAAAGACTTGTTAATTTAAATAAAAGAAGGTTAATTTTGTTTAAATTAATGTATTTAGTTTAAAATTTATATATAATAAAAGAATTTTTTTATGAGATTTAATATGATTTTAAATTAATTAAAATTTAATATTATTTCAAAATATTAAGGGATTAAGTACAATAAAATAAGATTATTTAATAATT